TAGAGGTATTGCACACTGCACCCTCTCCACTGCGCACGGCCCACCTTCAAGGCTCGGTGACGTAATGGGGGTGGACCCCCTTACTGCTCTTGGCCCTTGCCTCAATGACCTAATGGGAATGGACCCCTTGCTGCGCACTGTCCACCCCCTAGCCTGGGTGACCTAATGAAGCTGGATCCCTTGTTTTATTGCTCACGACCCTATCACTATCGTTAAAGACGATTTCACTCACTGCCCTGCCCCCTCAGCGCGCCCCACCCTAGCGGATTTCCCTTGCCTGCACCCCAGTGGGTAAAAGGGTAGACGTGGCAGCTCAGGGCACCTGCTTCCAGCAGGCTTCAGGCCCCACCCTCCCAGGGAGACCTATACACCTGTGAAGCTGCACAGAGGTGAGGCTGAAAAGTGGTACTGGAGATGACATCCCGGGTTTTGAGATCGCGGAATTGAAAACTGGAGTGAAACATAAAAATAAAAAGAAATAAAAGCTCGTCAAGGTCTCTTTGTCTTGTTGACGGTGTAGCACGAGTCAGATACCCGCCCTGCAGAAAGGTCAGGTCAGAAATTTAGGATGCAGAATGACTTCTGATTCTTCCCCCAGAGGCTCCACCTGTGCATTGCTGGCCTCCTGCACGACTTCACCTGCATTTTTATGTACAATTTTAAAGGTTCTGGATATATGTTGGAAGTGGAATCCTACCTGTGTCGTTTGGTAAACATTTACGAAAAGGCATGACATCTTGTTCTCCATTTTCACGAAGTGCAGTTAGACAATTAAACACAGATCCAAATTAGAAGAATGCTATAAAGACACACAAAACGTAAAAACAAAATATTATTTTAAAATGCTGAATTAAGAAAACACTTGCAGGACATAGGACAAATGCAGCAGGATATTTAAGCCTGAAAGAAATGTTCTACATAAGAAAGAAGCAAAGAATCGGAAACATAAGAAAAGTAAAATGTGGCGAGTACATTTGATTTAAGTTGTTCAAACACACTAGTACTCAAATTAAAAATAAAGCAGGCCGGGGGTGGTGGCTCAAGCCTGTAATCCAAGAACCTTGGCAGCCAGGGCAGGCAGATCACCTGAGGTCGGGAGTTCAAGACCAGCCTGACCGAATGATGAAAGCCCGTCTTAAAAAAAATGCAATAAGATATGATTTCCAGCTATAAGATCTATAATGATTGAAAATTTGGTGGCTGGGCGTGTTGGCTTGTGCATTTATTCTCAGAGCAATTTTGGAGGCCTAAGGGGTAGAATCCCTTGAGCCCAGGAGTTGGAGGCGACAGTGAGCCATGGTTGCACCACTGCACTGCAGCCTGGGTAACAGAGCAAGACCCTCTCAAAGTAAATAAAAAGTAAACAGTAAGAAAAATATTCTAAATAAACTGAAAGAGGTCAGGGTCACCGGTCTCACTGTTTAAGGGGTTATCTAAGCTCGTGGTCTCATGTCCAAGAAAATTAAAGAGTGTGGACACAAAGAGTAAAAGTTTAATAAGCTAAAGAAGAAAGCACTCCGCAGAGGAGAGGGGTCCTGAACGGGGTGCCATTTTTACAGCTGATTTCAAAAGATTTTTACAAGAAACTGCTCTTGGCCAGTCATGATGGCTCATGCCTGTAATCCCAGCACTTTGGGAGGCTGAGGTGGGCAGATCACCTGAGGTCAGGAGTTCGAGACCAGCCTGACCAACATGGTGAAACCCCATCTCTACTAAAAATATTAAAATTAGCTGGCCCTGGTGGCTTGCACCTGTAGTCCCAGCTGGTCAGGAGGCTGAGGCAGGAGAATTGCTTGAACCCAAGAGGTGGAGGTTGCAGTGAGCCAAGGCTGAGTTACTGTACTCCAGCTTGGGTGACAGAGCAAGATTCTGTCTCCAAAAAAAAAAAAAAAAAAAAACACACACAGAAAAACAAAAAACAAAATTCAAAATACTCAAACTAATAGAAACAGAGGGTAGAATGGTGGTTGCCAGGGGCTTGGGTGAAGGGGAAATGGGGATATGTTGCTCAAGAGGTACAAATTTTTAGTTTTGCAAGATAAATAAGTTTAGAGGATTTAATGTACATGGTGACGGTACTTGACATATGTACATAGTGACATTATGTGACATAGTTAACTAAAAAAAAAAATCTTAAAATGGGATGGTCAGAAGCAAACCATACTACTTGATATTTGCTGAGAGGATAGATTTTTTTTTTTTTTTTTTTTTTTTGCTACAAGGATAGATCTTAAGTACTCTTCTGCATGGGGGAGATGATAGAATTTTTTTTATTTTTATTTTTTGAGATGGATTGTTGCTCTGTTGCCCAGACTAGAGTGCAATGGCGCGATGTCGGCTCACTGCAACCTCCGCCTCCCAGGTTCAAGTCGTTCTCCTGTCTCAGCCTCCCGAGTAGCTGGGATTACAAGTGCCCACCAATGTGCCTGGCTAATTTTTGTATTTTAATTTTAATTTAATTTAATTTTATTTTTTAAAGATGGGGTTTCTCCATGATGGCCAGGCTGGTCTTGAACTTCTGACCTTGTGATCCACGTGCCTTGGCCTCCCAAAGTGCTGGGATTACAGGCGTGAGCCACCACACCTGACCAAGGATATTTTTTTAAAAAGTGTTCTGACTGGGCGCAGTGGCTCACACCTGTAATCCCAGCACTTTGGGAGGCTGAGGTGGGCGGATCACCTGAGATTGGGAGTTTGAGACCAGCCTGACCAAAATGGAGAAACACCGTCTCTAATAAAAATATAAAAAATTAGCTGGGCATGGTGGTGCATGCCTATAATCCCAGCTACTTGGGAGGCTGAAGCAGGAGAATGGCTTGAACCTAGGGAGTGGAGGTTGCAGTGAGCCGAGATCACGCCATTGCACTCCAGCCTGGGCAACCAGAGTGAAACTCTGTCTCAAAAAAAAAAAAAAAAAGTGTTCTGACCACACACATATGCACACAAACACAAAGGATATAATTTCAGGTGCTAAATACATTAATCAGCTTGATTTGATTACGGTAATCATATGTGCATATCAAAATTCAAATAATATATTTAAAATATTTGTATCATTTTTGGCTGGGCACAGTGGATCACTCCTATAATCCCAACACTTTGGGAGGCCGAGGTGGGTGGATCACGAGCTTAGGAGTTTGAGACTAGCCTGACCAAAATGGTGAAACTGTGCCTTTACTAAAAATACAAAAATCAGTTGGGCGTGGTAGGAGATGCATGTAATCCTAGCTACTTAGGAGACTGAGGCAGGAGAGTCACTTGAACCGGGGGGTGGAGGTTGCAGTGAGCCAAGATTGGCCATTGCACTCAGCCTGGGTGACAGATCGAGACTCAGTGTCAAAAACAGACAAAAAAATATCGTTTTTGTCAGCTGTATCTCAATAAAGCTAAAAGGTAATAAAATATTTAATCGGAGTAAAAATAACGTAATGCACACACACAAAGGGTGTGATTTGAGGTGGTAAATACATCAATCAGCTTGATTTGATTATGGTAATTATTATATGTGTATATCAAAATTCAAAATGATAAAATATGTATCATTTTTGTCAACTGTACCTCAATAAAGCTAAAAAGTAAATACAATATTTAATTGGAGTAAATATATTATGTAATATATAACATATATAATGTATATGTTATATTTAATATATGTTATATCATTTATGTTAATATATAGCAGCTATGTTATGTATTACACAATATAGTATTTATTAATATTATATATCATATATTAATATAATAGATTAGATAATATATTATAATTCCTTGCAAATATTCAATTTGTATCAATTAACCTTGAGAGCTTGTTTGGAGGTTCTAGCAGGGGAGCACAGCTACTCATATACCCTTGACCGAAGACCGGTCCTCCTCTATCGGGGGTGGTCGTCCTCTTCAACCGAGCACGCAGCTTTGGGAGGGGCACACATGGAGCAGTGAGGGAGGAAGGGGACACCCGCCTAGCCAGCCAGATCAGCCGAATCAACCCTGGCGATCAATGGGGCGACAGATGTCTCAGCCAGATCGCCCTTACATCCAATTTGTGTCAATTAACTTAAAACACATTTATAATTGTAATATGTAATGTTCAAGTAGATGTGCATATAATTTACATCAAAATAACATTGGCCGGGCGCGGCGGCTTAAGCCTGTAATCCCAGCACTTTGGGAGGCCGAGGCGGGTGGATCACGAGGTCAGGAGATCGAGACCATCCTGCTCAACATGGTGAAACCCCGTCTCTACTAAAAATAAAAAAATTAGCTGGGCATGGTGGTGCGTGCCTGTAATCCCAGCTACTCAGGAGGCTGAGGCAGGAGAATTGCCTGAACCCAGGAGGCTGAGGTTGCGGTGAGCCGAGATGGCGCCATTGCACTCCAGCCTGGGTAACAAGAGCAAAACTCTGTCTCAAAAAAAAAAAAATGTAAGCAGAATAGTACTCAAAAATATTCTTTTTAAAAAAACTGGGAACTATTGCAAGCTTCTCTCCCCATTTAGGTTCCAGCGACTTGAGATAAATTGTTTTCCCAAAGGGAGTTGGGGGAGCCAAGGAGCATGACACTCGTATGTGAGCTGGCATGGGGCAAAACGTTCTTCTTGTGATGGCTTAGGTGCAGGGATTGGTAATCATTTAAATATCAGCTGATGAAAAGGAGTCCTATCTAGTCCTTTTCAGATGGAGGGTACATGTTTCTAAGTAGTTTCTTTCTTTTTTTTTTTTTGAAGATGGGGTTTCACCACGATGGGCAGGCAGGTCTTGAACTCCTGACCTCAGGTGGTCCACCCACCTCGGCCTCCCAAAGTGCTAGGATTACAGGTGTGAGCCACCGCGCCCAGCCTCTAAGGAGTTTCTAAGGAGTGATACAGTGTCTAAGGGGAGAATTAGAGAATCATGTAAATGGTTTTAAAAAGTGGGCGGGACAACCTGGCTCAGCATATAAAAAGCCAGCCTCCGTGCAGATTTCCTCCCAGACAGTGGCTCAGCCTCCAGGACTCTTCCAGCATGGCCGAAGACACCTCTTCACACGGTAAGTTCCCTTGTGCTTGAGCTGAGCTCCGTGTTTGGTTTGGGGGAAAAGTAGGAGGCTAAAAACCTAGAGGGTACTTGTCAGAGAGTTGTGTGACGCTGAACGTTGGACTTCATCTACTTGGGCCTACCTGGCTTCCAACAGGAATCCGCAGACTCATCGTGTTCCGAGCCTGAACTTGATAGATTTTGATGCTCAGTATCTAAACGATTCCTCCCACACTGTTTTCTCCAGCTCAGGAGGGTGGCCAGGTCATGCCTCATATCTAGAAAACACCCTGACTCTGTTTAGTTACCTATAACATCATCTAGGCAGGCTGACATTCTGATGGCTTTAACATTCAAATTATTTAAGGAATTTGAACATTTCTGATCCATGTCAAGCAGATTATTATTGGTTTCTCTCATTAGATTATTAGTCCATCTCATTAGATTATAGGTCCATTGGATTAGATATCGAATCCATCTCATTAGATTATAGGTCCATTGGATTAGATATCGAATCCATCTCATTAGATTATAGGTCCATTGGATTAGATATCGAATCCATCTCATTAGATTATAGGTCCATTGGATTAGATATCGAATCCATCTCATTAGATTATAGGTCCATTGGATTAGATATCGAATCCATCTCATTAGATTATAGGTCGATTGTATAAGATTATTGCAGTCTCTTTTTCTTTTTAGTGCTTGTTTCACTGTATACTGTGTTCTCCTAACTGACCTCTCTGCTTCCATCAATCTATTTGCAGCCCTGTACCTGATGTGATGTTAAATTGTTAATTAAATCGTGTTGGCCAGGCGCAGTGGCTCACGCCTGTAATCCCAGCATCTCAGGAGGCTGAGGTGGGCAGATCACGAGGTCAGGAGTTTGAGACCAGAATTGGCCAGGCACGGTGGCTCACACCTGTAATCCCAGCATCTGAGGAGGCTGAGGTGGGCAGATCACGAGGTCAGGAGTTTGAGACCAGAATTGGCCAGGCACGGTGGCTCACACCTGTAATCCCAGCATCTGAGGAGGCTGAGGTGGGCAGATCACGAGGTCAGGAGTTTGAGACCAGAATTGGCCAGGCATGGTGGCTCACACCTGTAATCCCAGCATCTGAGCAGGCTGAGGTGGGCAGATCACGAGGTCAGGAGTTTGAGACCAGAATTAGCTGGGCATGGTGGCTCACACCTGTAATCCCAGCATCTGAGCAGGCTGAGGTGGGCAGATCACGAGGTCAGGAGTTTGAGACCAGAATTAGCTGGGCATGGTGGCTCACACCTGTAATCCCAGCATCTGAGGAGGCTGAGGTGGGCAGATCACGAGGTCAGGAGTTTGAGACCAGAATTGGCCAGGCGCGGTGGCTCACACCTGTAATCCCAGCATCTGAGGAGGCTGAGATGGGCAGATCACGAGGTCAGGAGTTTGAGACCAGACTTAGCTGGGCATGGTGGCACGCGCCTGTAATCCCAGCTACTCAGAAGGCTGAGACAGGAGAATTGCTTGAACTCAGGAGGTGGAGGTTGCAGTGAGCTGAGATCATGCCACTGCACCCCAGCCTGGGCAACAGAGTGAGACTCTGTCTCAAAATAAAATAAGATAAAATAAAATAAATTATTTCACTTATCTGCTCAAAACCCTCAATGACTTCTCACATTACTCAGAGTAAAAGGCACCTGGCCCCACTGTGCCCTAGATAACCTGGAGCCCGGTATGGTCTGTGACCTCATCTGCTTCCTTTTTCTTCTTTTATCTCCAGACGTTCTGGCCTCCTTGCCTTATGTGAAATAAGGCAGCCAGCATCCCAGCCCAGGGCCTGTCCCCTCTCTCTGCAATCGCTCACTCTCATCTGCCTCAAGTCTTTGTTCACGTTATACTTTCTCGTGAGCCCAACCCTAACTATTGCACTTAAAACTGTGATCTCATCCCTGCACACTTCACTCTTCCCACTTCATTATTTGCCATGGAAATACTCATCATCTGATTCACCACATCTTTTTATTTTTTATTTTATTTTATTTTTTTTTGAGACGGAGTTTCGCTCTTGTTGCCCAGCCTGGAGTGCAATGGCGTGATCTCGGCTCACCGCAACCTCCGCCTCCTGGGTTCAGGCAATTCTCCTGCCTCAGCCTCCTGAGTAGCTGGGATTACAGGCACTCACCACCATGCCCAGCTAATTTTTTGTATTTTTAGTAGAGACGGGGTTTCACCATGTTGACCAGGATGGTCTCAATCTCTTGACCTCGTGACCCACCCGCCTCAGCCTCCCAAAGTGCTGGGATTACAGCGTGAGCCACTGCATCCGGCCTCTTTCTTTTTTAAGTCTGGCTAAAAGATTGTCAATTTTGTTTATCTTTTCAAGAGCCCAACTTTTTGTTTCTTTGATTTTGTGTATTTTCTTCATTACAAAAATTTCTTTTTTTAAAAACATTTGTTTTTGAAGTGCAGTGGTGTGATCTTGGCTCACTGCAACCTCTTCCTCCAAAACTCGAGCAATCCTCCCACCCCAGCCTCCCAAGTAGCTGGGAATGTAGTTGCCATGCCTGACTAATTATTTTTTTTATAGAGATGGGGTCTCGCTGTGTTGCCCAGGATAGTCTCGAACTCTTAGACTCAAGGAATCCACCTGCCTTGGCCTTTCAAGGTGCTGGGGTTACAGGTGTGAAGCCACCCACACCCAGCCTCAACTGTTATTTTAAATGATCAATGCAAGAGGCTGCAAAATCATGCATAGGTAAAAGATCCATCTAAAATGTAAGATAATGTGTTGGAAACTCGAAAAAAGTATGAGACAAAAATGTATTTTAGTAGAATACAGTAAGAAAAGTTCACTGATGTGTTTTCAGACTCCAGGTAGCAACTACCCTTTAAAAAAGTTTAAGAAATTGGCCAGGCACGGTGGCTCATGCCTGGAATCCCAGCGCTTTGGGAGGCTGAGGTGGGTGGATCATCCAGCCCAGCCTGGCCCACTTGGCAAGACCCCGTCTCTACTAAAAATACAAAAATTAGCCGGGCCTGGTGGTGGGCATCTGTCATCCCAGCTACTCAGGAGGCTGAGGCAGGAGAATCACTTGAACCTGGGAGGTGGAGGTTGCGGTGAGTGGAGACCACGCCATTGCATTCCAGCCTGGGCACCGAGAGTGAAACTCCTTCTCAAATGACAACAACAACAAACAATGAACCTGGGGGTATGAAATTAAAGATAAGAGGCTGGGTGTGGTGGCTCAAGCCTGTAATCCCAGCACTTTGGGAGGCCGGGGAGAGTGGATCACGAGGTCAACAGATCGAGACCATCCTGGTCAACATGGTGAAACCCCGTCTCTACTAAAAATACAAAAAATTAGCTGGGCATGGTGGCGCGTGCCTGTAATCCCAGCTACTCAGGAGGCTGAGGCAGGAGAATCGCCTGAACCCAGGAGGCGGAGGTTGCAGTGAGCCGAGATCGCGCCATTGCACTCCAGCCTGGGTAACGAGAGCGAAACTCTGTCTCAAAAAAAAAAAAAGTAATCTATTAAATGCTTCTTCTTTTGTAATCTCCCTACAGAGATGGTAGGAACAAGTCACAGGCGCAGGCGCACCAAATTCACAGAAGATCAATTGAAAATCCTCATCAATACCTTCAATCAAAAGCCTTACCCGGGTTACGCCACCAAACAAAAACTTGCTTTAGAAATCAGCACAGAAGAGTCCAGAATCCAGGTAAGTTAAAGTTCTCTATCTCCAGGACCGGAAGTAGAAGGGAGGAGGGAGAACCATTAACGGAGCCCAGACTATGAACCCGTGTGCTAAGAGCTTTGTGGGAGTGTCCCAAGTGACCCTCAATAAACCCACAGAGGTGTTGCTCTCAGCCCCACTTCACAGACGTGGATACTGAGGTTGACCCAGCTCACAGGAAGCCAGAGAACGTGTGTAGGCATACCTGCAAAGAGGAGGAGTTTTTTTTTTTTTTTAAAGCAAAACTGAATATATGTTCATTTTACACAAAGTACAATCCAGTATATGCAGAAAGGTACTCACCATCACAGTCATGAACAATAGCCTCCTATTTCCATTTGGTATGTCACTGAAAACCTGGTATATCACTTAGCTAAAAATCACATGAAAGCTCGCCTAGAGAAATCAAACTAATGTTTTTTTCCCCCCCAACCAATACATTTTCTCTTCATTAGCTAAATCTGATAGTGATATTCATTAATGAGGAAAAAAACTCACCGGGCGCTGTGGCTCAAGCCTGCAATCCCAGCACTTTGGGAGGCCGAGGCAGGTGGATCACGAGGTCGAGAGATCGAGACCATCCTGGTCAACATGGTGAAACCCCATCTCTACTAAAAATACAAAAAATTAGCTGGGCACGGTGGCATGTGCCCGTAATCCCAGCTACTCAGGAGGCTGAGGCAGGAGAATTGCCTGAACCCAGGAGGCGGAGGTTGCCGTGAGCCGAGATCGCGCCATTGCACTCCAGCCTGGGTAACAAGAGTGAAGTATCAACTCTGAATGGCAAAGACCCTAATCTGACTTACTGGCTACCAAGAACCCAGAAAGAGAATTCAAGAAGAGGGGGAAGCAAGAGCACTAGGGACACGATCTTCTTTTCGGTGAAATTCAGTCCCACGGCTATCTGAGCAAGGGTGCAAGGCAATGGAGAGGCAGCGAAGCTGCTGGGGGGGCTGTTCACAGGCAGAAATGCACCGGCTGTGCCCCTCTGTGGAGGAGGAGACTTTGAGCTGGTTTTTAAACATGTAATGATTGCAGCAGCTATTTACCTATTAAATCTTAATAACTAGAGCAAATCACATTGGCAGCAGATCGTGAAGGTGCTGAAGGCCAAATCTTTTGTTTTCATCTTTTTGAGACAGAGTCTCACTGTCTCACCCAATCTGGATGCAGCAGCACAATCACGGCTCACTGAAGCCTTGAAATCCCGGGTTCAAGCAACCCTCCCTCAGCCTCCCAAATAGCTGAAACTACAGGCACGTGCCACCATAGCTAATTTTTTTTTTTTTTGAGACGCTCTTGTCACCCAGGCTGGAGTGCAATGGCGCAATCTCGGCTCACCGCAACCTCCGCCTCCTGGGTTCAGGCAATTCTCCTGCCTCAGCCTCCCGAGTAGCTGGGATTACAGGCACGTGCCACCATGCCCAGTAATTTTTTGTATTTTTAGTAGAGACGGGGTTTCGCCATGTTGACCGGGATGGTCTCGATCTCTTGACCTCGTGATCCACCCGCCTCGGCCTCCCAAAGTGCTGGGATTACAGGCGCCCAGCCCATAGCTAATTTTTTACTTTTATTTTTTATTTTTTGAGGTAGAGGCTTGCTGTGTCGCCCAGAGTGGAAGTGTACTGGTGTGATCTCGGCTCACGGCAATGTCCTCCTCCCAGGTTCAAGAGATTCTCATGCCTCAGCCTCCCAAGTAGCTGGGACTACAAGTGCCTGCCACCACGACCAGCTAATTTGTGTATTTTTAATAGAGAAGAGACAGGGTTTCACTACGTTGGTCAGGCTGGTCTTGAACTCCTGACCTCGTGATCTGCCCACCTCGGCCCCCCAAAGTGCTGGGATTACAGATGTGAGCCACCAAGCTTGGCTGGCTATTTTTTTTTTTTTTTTTTAGTAGGGACGATGTTGTCACACTATGTTGCCCCGGGTGTGAGTGCCAAGTCCTGCCCTAAGACTTGGTAGATAGGCCCGGTGCAGTAGTTCATGCTTGTAATCCCGGCGCTTTGGGAAGGCGAGCCGGATGGACTGAGCCTGAGGTCAGGAGTTTGAGACTGGCCAGACAAACATGGTGAAAACCCATTTCTACGCAAAATACACAAATTAGCCGGGCTTGATGGCACATGCCTATAATCCCAGTCCTTGGGAAGCTGAGGCACAAGAATGGCTTGAACTCAGGAGGTGGAAGTTGCAGTGAGCCGAGATTGTGCCACTACAGTCCACTCTGGGCCACGGAGTGAGACTCTATCTAAAAAAAATAAATAAATAAGCTGAAATTAACATGTAATTCTCTCCTTTCCTTTTCCTCACTTAGATTTGGTTTCAGAATCGAAGAGCTAGGTGTGGATTCCAGAAAAGACCAGGACCTGAGACTTCAGAATCAAGCCAGAGCCATGGGCAAGACCAACCTGATAGGAAGTTTCAAAGTAAATAACCCTCTCCCTTCTGTTTCCCAGCCAAGCTTCTCTACGGTAGAGCCAACGGATACTTTGATTGGGAAAAGAGTATCTCTTCCCTGATGACAGGATGTCATTCAGGGTCTTATGAGGCAAAGCGTTCATCATTCCCTGGAAGTTCTCCCCTGCCCTCTTCCTGGACCTTCTGAGTGTTTATCTTGCCTACTTTCTTTCTTTTTCTTTTGTTGTTGTTTTTTTTTTGAGACAGTCTTACTCTGCCGCTCAGGCTGGAGTGCAGTGGTGTGATCTCAGCTCACTGCAACCTCCGCCTCCCTGATTCAAGTGATTCTTCTTCCTCAGCCTCCTGAGTAGCTGGGACAACAGGCATGCACCACCGTGCCTGGCTAATTTTTGTATTTTTAGTAGAGATGGGAGTTTCACCACATTGGTCAGGCTGGTCTTGAACTCCTGACCTTGTGATCCACCTGCCTCGGCTTCCCAAAGTGCTGGAATTACAGGTGTGAACCACTGCACCGGCCTCTTGCCTACTTTCTGCTGGGAGTCCAGAAGCCCAGACATATCATCCTGTGTCTCCTCTAGAACCTTCCACCTGGAACGAACCTGGGACAAAATCCTCTCAGGAGGAGTCAGTGGGGTTGAAATGAGATGGAGAGCGACAAGCGTGATTCTGTGTTTGAACATGTGAACTGACCCTTGAAATATTCCTTGACCGCCCCCTCAATCTCTTCGTGCCTTCCCCAGGTAGAGAAGCCAGACGGTGTCGTACCGTCTACAGCGCCTCTCAATTATGCACGCTCATCGAGGCATTTATGAAAAACCCATACCCTGGGATTGATTACAGGGAACGGCTTGCCAAGGAAATCGGTATTCCAGAGTCAAGAGTCCAAGTGAGTGATAAGAAGTGTTTGGCTGTCCCATCTCCCAGGGACCTGGGCACACAGGAAGGGAAGCCACCTGGGCCTCGGGCAGTTCCTCATCATGCTGGGCACATTTCAGGGTCTTTCACCAGCTGTTCCCTCCCAGGTGTCCACAGGGCTCAATCTCACATCCCCTTCTGGTATTTTCTGTCTGTCCAGAACCATGTTGTATTCCTTGGGCCCTGAACAGTGTGTGGCATTTGACACCCAGTGAGAATTTGCTGAGTGAGTGAACGCTCTTTATCACTTCATATAAGCCAGGCATTTGGCTAAAGCCTTTTTTACCCCTCAAGACAGGTTCTCACTCACCCAGGCTGGAGTGCAGTGGTGAAATCTTGGCTCACTGCTGCCTCGACCGCCTGGGTTCAAGCGGTTTTTGTGTTTCGGCTGCCTGAATAGCTAGGATTACAGGTATGTGCCACCATGCCTGGCTAATTTTTTTTGTGTATTTTTAGTAGAGACGGGTTTCACCATGTTGCCCAGGCTGATCTTGAACTCCTGGCCTCAGGTGATCCGCCTGCCTAGGCCTTCCAAAGTGTTGGGATTACAGGGTTGAGCCACCGTGCCTGGCCTATTTGACTAAAGTCTTTATGTCTACTGTATCCTTCAGATCTTCGAATTATGTCCTGAGGTTAGAACTATGAGGTCCAGCCCAGGTGCTGTGGCTCACACCTGTCATCCCAGCACTTTGGGAGGCTGAGGCGGGTGGATCACGAGGTCAAGAGATCGAGACCATCCTGGTCAACATGGTGAAACCCCGTCTCTACTAAAAATACAAAAAAAAATTAGCTGGGCATGGTGGTGCATGCCTGTAATCCCAGCTACTCGGGAGGCTGAGGCAGGAGAATTGCCTGAACCCAGGAGGCGGAGGTTGTGGTGAGCCGAGATCGCGCCATTGCACTCCAGCCTGGGTAACAAGAGCGAAACTCCGTCTCAAAGAAAAAAAAAGAAAGAAAGAAAAAAGAGAAGAAAGCAAAGATGAGTTTTACACAACATTCTTTGTTTAAAAAGTTTCTTTGTCTTACCCACTTAGATTTGGTTCCAGAATCGAAGATCTAGATTTCATCTCCAGAGAAAAAGGGAACTTGTGTCCTTAGAACCAGAAGACCAGGGCAAGCTTTTGAGGGACTGCAAGGTAACGAGCCAGTCGTTCCCCATTTGGCTCCGGAGAGGAGCTCTTGGATGACCAGTGGCCAGCGCTTCGTCACGATGCTCCCCCTGGGAGGTGGAGGATCTTCCCACCCAAGTGTGCCACAGTATCATGGGGTTGGTCACAGTCCCTGAAGACTCTTCCCGGGTCTGTGGACCTTCTAAAGAATCCCACTGCCCACTTTCCAGTGGGAGTCCAGCGACCCCATGGATACAAATTTTGTTCACGGATGTATCCCCAGTACCTGCTAAAAAGGAAACACTCCATAAACTTCTGTCGAAGGTGTGATTGAGTGAGCGGAGGAATGAATCCTCAGACGTGTCCTGCCAGGGGCAGCGGGGGCGCGGCTTTCCCAGGAAGTATCAGGCTCCCTGTTGGATTGAAAAGGCGGGAAAAGGTTGACTTCCATGTTTGTGAATATAAACTGACCTCTTATATTTTTTCCTCCTTAGGTGCAGAAGATACACAAAACGGCACCGACTTCCCCAGCGACTCTCATTCCTCTAGAGCCAGAACGTGGTGAACATGCTCAAGTTCAGCGTACTTTATATTATCAGCTGGGCCCCAAATCTCTTACAGTCTGGGGGAAGAAAGCTGCCCAGGTGCCAAGGCAAGAGACTGAAGGCACAATCTGTCCCAGCATCATAAATAACTGATGACTTAGTTACAGCGATGAAACCAAATATATTCACTGATTACTTAGAGCACTGCTACCAGATAGGTGTGGAAACAATCACATAATCAATTATATAATCACTCTTATTAAATCATAATTCTCATGGCCGGGCGCGGTGGCTCAGGCCTGTAATCCCAGCACTTTGGGAGGCCGAGGTGGGTGGATCACGAGGTCGAGAGATCGAGACCAACCTGGTCAACGTGGTGAAACCCCGTCTCTACTAAAAATACAAAAAATTAGCTGGGCACGGTGGCACGTGCCTGTAATCCCAGCTACTCAGGAGGCTGAGGCAGGAGAATTGCCTGAACCCAGGAGGCGGAGGTTGCGGTGAGCTGAGATCGCGCCATTGCACTGCAGCCTGGGTAACAAGAGCGAAACTCCGTCTCAAAAAATAAATTATGAATAAATAAATAAATCATGATTCTCTTATTATTAATCTTTGCTTTCGTTTTATAGCATAGAATCATTGTAGTCTTACAGTATAGACATAATCGGGTGCAATATAATGAGGAACTGAAAGGACATGGTGAGAAGTGATCCTGAGGCAACAGTGAGAGCCTTGTGGTGAGGCCAGCACCTGGGAAGGCACCGTGACTCAGCAGCCAGGCCTTGTGCTAACACCAGTGCCTGGGAAGGCACCGTGACTCAGCAGCCAGGCCTTGTGCTGACACCAGTGCCTGGGAAGGCGCCGTGACTCAGCAGCCAGGCCTTGTGGTGAGGACGGCACCTGGGAAGGCACCATGACTCAGCAGTCAGGCCTTGTGGTGACGCCGGCACCTGGGAAGGCATCGTGACTCAGCAGCCAGGCCTTGTGCTGACACCAGTGCCTGGGAAGGCATCGTGACTCAGCAGCCAGGCCTTGTGCTGACACCAGTGCCTGGGAAGGCACCGTGACTCAGCAGCCAGGCCTTGTGCTAACACCAGCACCTGGGAAGGCACCGTGACTCAGCAGTCAGGCCTTGTGCTGACACCAGCACCTGGGAAGGCACCGTGACTCAGCAGTCAGGCCTTGTGCTGACACCAGTGCCTGGGAAGGCACCGTGACTCAGCAGCCAGGCCTTGTGCTGACACCAGTGCCTGGGAAGGCACCGTGACTCAGCAGCCAGGCCTTGTGGTGAGGCCGGCACCTGGGAAGGCACCGTGACTCAGCAGTCAGGCCTTGTGCTGACACCAGTGCCTGGGAAGGCACCGTGACTCAGCAGCCAGGCCTTGTGCTGACACCAGTGCCTGGGAAGGCGCCCTGTTACTTAGCAGGCCATGAATGGGAGTTCCCCTTTCACTGGGGGAGTTCAGAGAACACTGCTCTGCCCTGCTCTCGAGGAAGGCCTGACATTAGCCAGGCCTGCCCAGACATCCAGGGGCTTAAATGCCTCTCTGTGGTGCTGTGCTCCAGAGGTCACCATCCTTGTCCACTTTCATGTTCTGCTTTCCCACCCAGAGCTCCTTAGAAATCGTGAAAAAGAATAGAAGAATCCTGGCCGGGCACGGTGGCTCATGCGTGTAATCCCAGCACTTTGGGAGGCCGAGGCAGGTGGATCACGAGGTCAAGAGATCGAGACCATCCTGGTCAACATGGTGAAACCCCGTCTCTACTAAAAATACAAAAAATTAGCCGGGCCTGGTGGCGCGTGCCTGTAATCCCAGCTACTCGGGAGGCCGAGGCAGGAGAATTGCCTGAACCCAGGAGGCGGAGGTTGCGGTGAGCCGAGATCGCGCCATTGCACTCCAGCCTGGGTAACAAGAGCGAAACTCCGTCTCAAAAAAAAAAAGAAAAAAGAAAAAAAAAAGAATAGAAGAATCCTAAAAGCTTTTGATCTTTCTGATAAACGCATAGAAGGATGCTGACGTTTGTCCCTCCCCGCCTTGCAGCGGCTGCCTGAGAGGGAGGGGCCCCTGCACTGTAAGCACGTGATTTGCGTGACCCTATCAATCGTGTCGGATGAGTCATTCTCCTTATCCTGCCCCCCTGCCTTGTATACAATAAATATCAGCGCGTCCCGGCACTGGGGGCCGCTACTGGAAGATGCAAGGGTTTTCCTCTAGAACCGCCCGAGGAGAAAGCAGCCCTGACAACACCTTGATTTTCGGATGTCTGCGTTCCAGAACTGTAAGATGATAAGTGTGTGTTTTAAGGCACAAAGGTTTTGGTCAGTTATTATAGCAGTCAACAGGGAACTAATGTACCTTGGCTTCATCGCCAGTGCGTGGCCCACAGCAGGTGCTCAGTAAATGTTTGTCGAACGCGTGAAGCCATGTTTGAGGGCACTTGATGTTGAAATAAGAGGAGAATCGGGGGACTTGCCCGGGCAGCTGGTTAGTATGCCAGGCATGGTGGCTCAGGCCGGTAATCCCAGCTCTTTGGGAGTTTACGGCAAGAGTTCGAGAGTACTCTGGGCAACATAGCAAGGCCCCCATCTCTGCAAAATATAAAAATGAATTAGCCAGGCATGGCGGTGTGCACCTGTGGTCCCAGATACTTGGGAGGCTGAGGCGGGAGGATTGCTTGAGTCCGGGAGGGCAAAGCTGCAGTGAGCTGCGATTGCACCATTGCATTCCAGCCCTGTCTCAAGGAAAAAAAAAAAAAAGCCGGGCCCGGTGGCCCAAGTCTGTAATCCCAGCACTTTCTGGGGCTGAGGTGGGTGAATCACCTGAGGTCAGGAGTTTCAGACCAGCCTGGCCAACATAGTGAAACCCTGCCTCCACTAAAAATACAAAACATTTAGCCGGGTGTGGTGGCAGGCGCCTGTAATCCCAGCTACTTGGGAGGCTGTGGCAGGAGGATCACTTGAACCGGGGAGGTGGAGGTTGCAGTGAGCTGAGATCACACCACCGCACTGCAGCCTGGGTGACAGAGCAAGATTCCATCTCAAACACACACACACACACACACGGTTAATATAGATTTGACGTGATCTCCATTAAGCGATACTGGTTGGAGAACAGAGAATATGAGGTCAAGTATGGACATAGAGAAATTAATTACAGAGTAAGAGATGATGGAGACTCAAACTACCTGGGGAGGTGGTGACCAGGAGAGCTTGTTCTCTAGAAAGAGATTTTACAGGTAGAGTCAGTAGTTCCCAAGGAGAGTCAAGCATCCCTCTGGAATTGTGAGTTTGCCTGGCTGGGTGAAAGGAATTGGTATTGACTGAAATAAGAATTTTGGTCTCACAGGTGACTGATGAACAATGAGAACACATGGACACAGGGTGGGGAGCACTACACACTGGGGTCTATTGAGGGGAATAGGGGAGGGACAGCGGGGGGCGGAGCTGAGGAGGGATAGCATGGGGAGAAATGCCAGATGTGGGTGAAGGGGAGGAAGACAGCAAATCACACTGCCACGTGTGTACCTATGCAACTACCTTGCATGTTCTTCACATGTACTCAAAACCTAAAATGCAATTAAAAAAAAAAAAAGAATTTTGGGGCTGGGCACGGTGGTTCAGGCCTGTAATCCCAGCACTTTGGGAGGCTGAGGCGGCTGGATCACGAGGTCAAGAGATCGAGACCATCCTGGTCAACATGGTGAAACCCCGTCTCTACTAAAAATACAAAAAGCAGCTGGGCACGGTGGCACGTGCCTGTAATCCCAGCTACTCGGGAGGCTGAGGCAGGAGAATTGCCTGAACCCAGGAGGCGGAGGTTGTGGTGAGCCAAGATCGCGCCATTGCACTCCAGCCTGGGTAACAAGAGCGAAACTCCATCTCAAAAAAAAAAAAAAAAAAAAAAATTTTGGCAGATTTTCTAGGGTGGTGAGATACAAGATTTCAGTTCCGACCAGACACTGTGGCTCAGAGCTGTAATACCAGCTCTGTGAGAGGCCAAGGTAAGACACTTGCTTGAGCCCAGAGTTTGAGACCAGCCCGGGAAACATAGTGAGATCCCCTACTCTAACAAAATATAAACAAATAGAATTTTTAAAAAGCAAAAAAATTATTTCAGCACTGGGTATGTTACTTTAGAGGTAAAGATTATAGCAGGCACATAGTTTGTGCTGGGCACACATCTGAGTTCCTCGGTCACTTCATCCTCCCAACCTGTCCTCCCACTTAAGGCTATTATTGCACACGAGGGAATTGAGGTAAAAGTGTGTCATTTGCCGTGGTTTGTCAGTAGTATATGTTGGAGCAGAAGTGTGGCTCTAAAGTTCACTTTTTTTTTCTTTTGAGGCGGAGTCTTGCTCTGTCACCAGGCTGGAGTGCAATGGCAGGATCTCGGCTCACTGCAACCTCTGCCTCCCGGGTCCAGGTAATTCTCCTGCCTCAGCCTCCTGAGTAGCTGGTATTACAGGCAGGAGCCACCATGCCCAGCTAATTTTTTGTATTTTTAGTAGAGACGGGTTTTACCATTTTGACCAGGATGGTCTCGATCTCTTGATCTTGTGATCCACCCGTCTCAGCCTCCCTAAGTGGTGGGATTACACGTGTGAGCCACGGTGCCTGGCCAAGTTCACTTCTTTTTTTTTTTTTCTTTTTTTTTTGAGACAGTCTTGCTCTGTCGCCAGGCTGGAGTGATGCGATCTTGGCTCACTGCAACCTCTGCCTCCTGGGTTCAAGCAATTCTTCTGCCTCAGCCTCCAGAGGAACTGGGGCTGCAGGCGCACATCACCACACCCAGCTAATTTTTGTATTTTTAGTAGTGACGGGGTTTTACTATGTTGGCCAGGATGGCCTCGATCTCCTGACCCTGAGATCTGTCTGCCTTGGCCTCCCAAATTGCTGGGATTATAGGTGTGGTGACACCTGGCCACATTTTTTTTTTTCTAATAGTGTCAAGGCAAGGATTGCTAGCAGAAATCTCTTTATCATCTTTCAAAAGAGTTAGGATGAGAGTTTAGTGTCACAATTAGTGGAAAGGATTTGTTAAGATCAATGGTTTGAAAAATAAATGTGGTAGAGCCTGCAGGGATCGTCCCATCTGGAATTTAGAGTCACATGTTCTGAT